ATGGCCCTCATTGCTGCGGACTCTCTTATGTGTCCTAGTGAGACTTTGAGCTAGGGGTGTTTCAATAATCTTTTACAATCAAGAAGTGTGTATAGCAAGTAGAGCTGGCTGAGAGGCTTGCAACTTGTTTGGGTAGGAGCAACAGGCCATCCCAACACATGGGTTACAGAAACATCTTTTCCCCTGAAGAATAAATTCAGTGTGTGTCATGCACTAAAAAGAACTGGCAGACTGCTCCCAACAAGCTGTATGCCTCATAGGCCCATTTTTTGACTCTCCAGTAGGTTTCTTTGGGAACAGACCAGATTTTGCATGATATCCCTTGGTAACTGAGCTATGGGTGAGCATGTTTTTGTCTCTTCCAGCCAATGTGCCCCTCTGTGGCACAGCTGCCAAAATGCTGCTGCGGCTGCAGGTGGGTACCTGCCTGTGCCAGCGTCCCTCCCCATGCAGACCCTTCCACTGGTGGCCAGCTGCTCCTGGCTTCTGCCGTGGTGTTGGACACTGCTGGCCCTCGTGTACCTGCCTGCAGATTTGGCCGGCAGCAGGATCGCCCCGACACCCATGCAATCATTTGAGCTTGGACCCACGTGCAGAGCCCCTGCAAGAAGAAGTTAAGCTGAGGCAGTGGCAGGCGGGCAATAAAGCGGAGGCAGGGGCAGCTGGACAAAGCTGGCTGCCCCAAGTCACCAGCCAGTCCTCACCCACTGTTGTCCCCAGCCACACCACTAACAACAACTGCATTTTGATTTTTTTATGGCTATAAAGCAAAACAAGCATTTCTGGTGAGCGTTTAAGCAATATCAGCTCACAGCTCAGTGCTGATAACTTGCTGTTCAGCCAAAGCACTGAGAATAATGGGTGGCCTGTTTAAACAGCTGGCTGCTGTGCTAATGTACAAAATGCTACAGAGCTTTCATGGCAGCCTGGAGAAACCCAGCAGACATCAGACTCAGTGCCAAAGCATGTGTGGAAGGAGGGTGGTGTGACAGCCCCTTTGCGGAGGCCAGCTTTTGCAATGCAAGGCACTGTCCCTTGTCCCATGCAGGGCCTGGCTTAGCACCGCAGGCAGCCCCAAGGCACAGCTCATGGCCTTCCTCAGGGCCAGCACATGTCTGCTGCCACAGAAAATTGCCTTTTACAGCATGCCATGGTAACAGCATAGGTCCTGTGCAGAGCTCAGCACGACACTTGCAAAATAAAGACATAATCCTGGAACTGTAGCCTTGTTCCCAACTCGGTTTTGCCATTCTGCCATCAGTGATGTGCTGAGAGTCAGACAAGTGATGGTAGTGTGCCACGAGCATCCACTGCCTGGGCAGGGAGCCCTGAGCCCACTGCTGCCACCAAAGATTTCCCACAGACGAGCGATGCTGCACTGGCACCACACCAGCACTCTGTTGCGACCCTGGTATTGCTCATGCATTGCTGCCTGGAGAGCCCCGTCTCCGCACAGCCTTCCGCAGCGCCCTCCGCACCTCCTGGTTCCGGAGGCTGTAGATGAGGGGGTTCAGCATGGGGGTGACAATGCAGTACAGTGCGGACACCAGTGTGTCGGCTGTCGGGGAGTAGCCGGAGCTGGGCCGGTTGTAGTTCAGGTTGGCTGTCACAAAGTACAGGGTGACCACGAGCAGGTGGGCAGAGCACGTGGAGAAGGCCTTGTGCCGGCTGGTGGCCATGGGCATCCCAAGGACGGCAGCCAGGATGCGGAGGTAGGAGATGAGGACAAGCAGGAAGGGGCAGAGGCCCACGAAGACACTGGCAGCATGGAGTGCCACTTCGCTGGGGTGGGTGTTGCTGCACGCGGCCCTCAGCAGTGGGGGGACGTCGCAGAAGATGTGCTGGAGCCGGGCAGCCCCGCAGAAGGAGAGCCTGGAGGCCAGGAGGGTGTGCACAGCTGAGTCCAGCATCCCCCAGAGCCAGCAGCCGGCAGCTGCCACCACGCATACACCCCGGCGCATGGCATGGCCGTAGCGCAGGGGCTGGCAGATGGCTGCGTAGCGGTCATAGGCCATGACAGCCAGGAGTGCGCACTCGGCCCCCGCACACCCCATCAGGAAGAACATCTGAGCCAGGCACCCGTGGTAGGAGATGGTCGCCTGTGGGCGCAGGGCATTTGCCAGGATCTTGGGCACCGTCACTGATGAGAAACAAATGTCCAAGCAGGACAGGTGACTGAGGAAGAAGTACATGGGGCTGTGGATATGGGGATCCAGGGACACGAGGGCGAGTATTGCAGAGTTCCCCAGCAGCGTGGCCAGGTAAATGGCCAGGAAAAGAGCAAAGAGGAAGGGCTGGCCATGAGAAAAGCCCAGGAGCATGAACTCCGTCACATGAGTCTGGTTCTCACCTGCCATGGATTGGTCTGTGGGCAGAAATGAGCACTGTGAGGAGGAGGTGGTAATTGTGATGTCTCTTCACAAGATTCAACAACACAATTAAATTTCAGGTTGGTATCCTTGCTTTACACCCATTAATCTGTTTTTCAATTCTCTGGCCAAAGCATGTGTCCATGTATCAGTCATGATTTTAGAACGTTGACCAATGGAGACTTCACTGCTTCTGTTGGGATTTTTTTTTCTTATAGCTACTTACAAGAAACTGTCAAAGTACAGTTAAAAATTGTGTGCTTTTTTCCCTGTTGGAATTGCTCGAATGTCAGCTCTGTCTCATTCGTAATTTTCAGGTCTTCCTCTTCCAGATTAAGGACCTTCTATTAGTATTTTCTCCTTGCTTCTACTTGTGCTCTGTG